TGTGGACACGACGCGCGTTTCCACAGCGGTCTCGTGTACTTCCAGAGCATGGGAGACCAGCCACGTTGCGGAGGCACGGTTCGTGCCCGCTCCTGTTAATTGGAATCAGTCGACGGATCGCACCTGGGATAGCTGGAGGGCGGTCTTGATCGCGCTTGCCTCGATCCTCGTGGGAGCGGCAACCTTCTTCTTGCTTTTCGTGAGTCGTAGAATTCACCAAAGCCATCGTCCACGTTGAAGACTGGTACTCAATGCTACGCAGTGACTCGCAGAAGTTGCTCCACCACATCGGGTCGTCTTCCTGTAGGTGGCCCAGTGCTGAGCCCATGAATTTATTCACGTACATCACGGCGAGACGTACACGAACCGGGGTATTGTTTGGGTCGGCAGACTTGTTCTTCGACACAAAGATACGGAGCCTGGACGTTAGCTTGCGCATGTGGTCGTACCACACCTCCTGACCAAGCGCGTTGAGTCCATGGATGGCGTCGAGAATCTCGTCATACGTGACGCACTAGATCGCTGAGCCCGGCAGTGACACCGACGGACTGAAATCGCTGGAGAAGTTCACGTTCGTTGAGCCATCTTCCAGACACGACATCTCACTTGCCTCCTTGAAGTGCATGATCGTCAATCCTCTGGAGCCGAGACGTACACTAAACACTGTCATCAGTACAGCGGGTGTAATCTTGAACTTGACGCACTCCAACTCCCGCATCATCAAAACGAAAGACATAGGTGACTTGATCTTACCTGGTTCGAGGCCTAAGCCTCTGAACATTCGACTGGCCGCCAGCATATGCGCTTGTGGCGGATTGTACTCGCCCTTCATCTTCATGGAGCCTTCCGGGAAACATGCGCAGGACAGAAACTGAACCTCCGACGGAGGTAGCTCTCCCTTGGAGTTAGGCGCTGTGCCAGCAGCGGTGACCGTTGCGATCGAAGGAGTACTTGGACTACCCCAACGACCATGTTCTTGGGCTTGTAGAGCACGTAGACGTTCAACCTCCTCCCGGAGCGCGCGGAGCTCAGCCAGGAGAGCATTGTTTCCGGCTTCGGCTAACACAGTGGTAGTCCCTGGACGCGACGCAGCTGGTGCAGCACTCTGTGTGATACTGAACGCAGGGGCGGTGGTAGACTCGGGCCGACTAGACACGGCCTGCCCGGGCTCGAACGAGGCCGTAAACGTCTCAAGGTTACAGCCACGCGTGTCGTTGCTCAGCGCATCTGTGGCGTGCGTGTACCGGCGTTGGTGGATGCAGCCGATGTCGAGGATCTCCTTGCTCGCTTGGCCTTCGGGGGAGCGGGCTTGTCCTCGACGTCAGAGCCCGACTCACCGCCCGCGTCTTCAGCGGCCTTCTTCCGCCCCACGCTCGACGAGTCGGCAGCAGCCTACTTGCCTCCGGAGCTCCCTGAATCCACCGATATTGCGCGCCCGGTCGGCTTCTTCTTGACTTTACCCGTTTCTTGCTGGGCGCCGCCTGCCGTGGAACGCGTGGCGGTACGCTTGCTCATGCGAAGCGGAGGGGGATATGACGTGGTACGAGCAGCAGTGGCTGTCCAAGGCTCGTCACCGCCAGTTACGCCGACGACGCCCTGTCTTCTTGTCTGCGACTCGCTGTCCGACGGGGTCTGTTCAGCCCTGGGCGAAGGCGACGGAGGAGCGGAAGCTGGCGTAGAAGTGGTCATAGTTGGAAGGGAAATGTGCCCCCTTGTTTCTTGTTCTGCTTGCTGGTTGTTCTTCAGAATGCGAAGTGAGTGCGAAGCTACGTGTGGAGCAAGCCAGTAGATTTTTGAAACCTCGAGCTCGTAAGTAAATGTATTCGTAATATGTACTAAACTGGCAGCTAACATCGTTCCACTCTTTTACTAATGGAGTGAAGGGAAACGTATTACGTAGAGGGTGCTTTCTGATCTTATTATTTGCTTTGCAGGCCACGAAGGCATAACTGTTGTTTTCTTGCTAAAGGGAAGCGCTTTTGGGGTCATTGGTTGCATGTACGTGGACATGCACAAGTGTATTAGTTCATACTGCCCGGCTTATCACCAACTGAATTAAGCAAACATTTCATCGACAAAGCCGTTGTACAGATGAGTTTTCGAATTCATACCGATCATGAGACACACGTGTGCTTTACGTCTGCCTGCATTTCTTTCGCGATGCAATTGTAAATACGACGCAGCAAGCCACGCTCAACCATCGTCGAAATTTAATGTTTCCACGGTTTTTTTTTTTTTTTTTTTGGCTAGTCATTTGTCAGATTTGAATGGCCGATTGTACAGTATATTTGCTCAACATTCATCTTACTTGTTTATGTAAGCTGAATGTTGAGCGAGATAACATCGACCGAGCTGCACAGTACCGCGAAATTAATCCGTTGAGGGCTATCCTATAGCCCCCCAAAGGTTCCAGTACGAGTAAACTGTTAAGCGTCACCTCATCTGAGATTACAAATTCTAAAACATCACGCTATCCGATCTCTCTAGTTTCGAAACGGCGAAGAGACCACTAATCCCCTAGTCACTTTTATCAAGCTCACAGATTCTGTATAACACAGCGTGTTCATCTCATCGATGAACTCATCTAAACAAGGGTTTGTCTCTAAAGTACTTACTTATTTCGATGCCGGACCATCTTCGAACGACGAATGCTTGTAGCACAATTCATTCTTGTATTTTGCATCCCACTGCAAAGTTGAACTCACTCTTACCCCAACCACGCAAACTTCATGACTGCCGCCAGAACCTCTGAGCATTCAACGCAACAAGCCAAACGAACGAGTATTGCAGTCCGACAGTATCGCCCCGAAGATCATGCCACCGTCACAAAGATTTTCGTCGAGGGTTTGATGGCGTTCGACGACAATCCGGACTTCCGCTACTTGTGGGAGGAGCGTCTGCGCAAGGATTTAACGCACGACTTTGCGGATATCGAAGCCAGTCATATGGCTCTGGGTGGCAACTTCTGGGTGGCGACAGCGACACAGGACGAATCAACCAAGATCGTTGGGATCATCGGGTTGCAACGCAGATCTGAGAACGTGGGCGACGTTCGCCGTTTATTTGTCGACTCGAATTGTCAACGCATGGGAGTTGGAAGGAAGCTCATGGCTGAACTTGAAAGCTGGGCGAAGCAGACTGGGATCAAAAGCTTGTTCTTGACGACGGTGTTGCTTAAGCCGAAGACGGGAAATTGTGGAATGACATGTATTGAATAGAACTCGAAGCTAAGCAAACTACAGCTAGTCCCTGCGTGTAGTCGAGTCGATGTGCAGATGTGAAGCGAGAGCGGCAGCGCTGAGTCGAAGCCTCCTCGTGACGACGCATTCGTAGCTTCATCTTCGTTGGCTGAACAGTATCCATGTGCGAGTGGTCATCACGGCTAGCGCCATGCGATGATCTGGTTGGCGGCCTTGAGTACGTCACCGACGCTAACTGCAAGCAGGCAACGCCGACGCTGCGGCGCCATACACATCCCTGCATCGCCATTGGCCTGAGCCCAGGATGACGGCGGCAGACACTACAATCCCCACCGCTTAAGCTTGCGTTACCAAGTTTTGGCGACGTCGAAAGTCCTCGAGTAATTGCGTCCAGTGCGAGACCTTAGAAATTCGTTTGGTGTCTTCCCAGGAATTCTTGGACTCAGGCAGGTCGGACCACTTGACCAGGTACTGAAGTCGACGTCGATGGTGACGTTTCTTGAGAAGAGCTGCGATGATGTAGATACGGTTACCTTCGCCGTCAAACAGCACTGGGGCGGCACGGCGAATTGGACGGCCAATGAATTCTGGCGGACAACCGATGGACAGCTTCAGCTGGTCAACGTTGAAGACGTCATGTGCACGGAGTATTGGCGGCAACGCCAACTTGTATGCATTTTCGCCGACGCGCTTGGAAATTGGAAATGGTCCGATCCAGCGCGGCAGCAACTTGTTCTTTGTAGGATCCTTGGTAATGTCGTAGTCTGGGGTGCTTATGTTCTTGTTCAGCAGCTTTGCACGAACGTACACGAAGTCGGAAACATTGAACTTGACAACTTTGCGATGCTGGTCATAGAAGCGCTTCTGCCGTTCTTGTGCCTTGTTGAGCTGCTCTTTAGCGTAGTTAACAACTGCCTGACGATCTTTGAGGAATAGACACGAGTCGGAAGCCACCCACAATCGAGGAAGAGGTCGGCGGCCGGTGTCTACTTCCATCGGCGTCCTGCCTGTTGACGTGTTGACCAAAGAAGTGTGTGCGAACTCGATACTCGGCAGGCACTCGATCCAGTCGTCACCGTAATGAGACACCGTACATCGGAGAGCGTCTTCTAGTGTTCGGATTTGCCGTTCGCTCTGACCATCGTTTTGGGCGCGGTGAGAGACGGACATCTTCAAGGTCACACGCAGTGTAGCCATTATTGCCTGCCAAAACTTGCTTAAAAACTTGGGGTCTCTATCGGAGACGATCGACCGAGGGGCACCGTGGATCACCACGATGTTATCGAAGAACATCCGAGCCACGTCCTCCGCAACCGCCGTTTTGCGAGTGGGCAAGTACCGAGCCCGTTTACTCAATCTGCAGACGACGACACAGATGGCATCAAATCCCCCAGACGCAGGAAGTCCAGTTACGAAATCCATTGAGATATCGACCCAGGGGGCTTCTGGAATTGGAAGAGGTTGTAGCAATCCTTTCTTTCGCTCGCCCGTCTTGTTCCGAGTACAGGTTTCACAGGGTCGAACGTAGTCTTCCACTGTCGACCTGAGACCTGGCCACACGAAATCTTGACGAACCGCGAGATACGTCCGAACCACGCCGGGGTGAGCCATCGTGGCCTCATCGGGATAGTGCACGAGGATATCCAGAAGTAGACGGTCGTTCCGAGGCAGCAAGACACGTTCGCCTTTGCCGTCTTGGATCAAAATCAACCCATTGTGAAGACTGTAGCGCGTATTATTCAGAGATGATGATCGTAGTTGCTGTAATATCTTCTTGCAGACTTCGTCCTCATCGTACAGCGTTTTGATTCGTTCCGCCACGGCAGGATCAGGTCCTATTACTAGTAGCGTGCTGACTTGCATTGGACGCGAGAGGCAGTCGGCTACGAGGTTGGTCCTTCCAGCACGGTGAAAGACGTCAAACTGGTACTGGCTAAAAATGTCAAACCAACGGAGGAGCTTCGGAGAGGGCTGCTTCTTAGAGAAAAACCATTTGCACGCGATGTTGTCTGTATAGACTGTAAACTTGGCGCCCAGTAGATACGGACGCCACTTCTCGATGCAAAACTTAATTGCGAAAAGCTCTTTCTCGTGGGCTGGCCATCGCTTCTCGGTGTCACTCAATTTTCGGCTAAGGTAAGCGACCGGGTGTTCTCCTGTAGTGTGCACTTGACTCAACACTCCTCCCACTGCCATATCCGAGGCGTCGGTGGTGACAAAGAACTGCCGCGAAAAATCGGGAAGCTGGAGCACCGGGGAGCGCTGAAGAAGGTCTTTCACACCGTCGAACGCTGCAGCCTGGGCTGGCCCCCAATTCCATTGACTTGCTCTCTTGAGTAGTTCAGACATTGGATGCACCAACTCAGCGTAGGCAGGAAGAAAACGCCGGTAGTAGCCGCATAGCCCCAGAAACCGCTGCAGCTCACGGGAATTCGTCGGCGCCTTTAGGTCTCGAATAGCCACCGTCTTTGATGGGTCCAGAGTGATGGTCGAATTAGAAATACGGTGGCCCAAGAACGTGATAGCTTCCTGCCCCCACGTGCACTTACGAGGATTGGCGTAAAGCTCAGCCGATCGCAACACCGTCAACACCTCACGAAGATGTTGGACGTGTTCCTCCTGCGTCGATGAAAAAACGCAGATGTCATCCAAATACACCACACAGAAGCGAGAAAAGCGTGAGTTTCCAAGAATGTAACGCATTAAGCGGGTCCAGGATCCGGGCATACCAGCCAGACCCATCGGAGCAACAACCCACTGAAATAACTCACCGTCAGCTTGAAACGCTGTCTGTGGTCGCGAGTCCTCTTTGAGGCGCATCTGATGATAGCCCGAGGTAAGATCGATGGTAGTAAACACTCGTGCTCCTTGCAGGGTATCCAGTAAGTCGTCAATGCGGGGCAAAGGAACACGTGGTACTGTAGTTTGTGCGTTTAGGTATCGATAGTCGATCACCCAGCGTACCGGATGAGTGATATCCCCACTACGGATCCAGTCAATTTTGCGCGTAGCAGCTCCAGTAGCCGGATCTTTCTTCGGTACCGCAAAAATATTCGAAACCCATGGAGAATTTGACGGCTCAATCCACCCTTTTTTGTAGCAGGTCCTGCACATACTTCCGTAAGGCTGCTCGCTCAACTGGAGAGTGCCGGAACGGTGCTCGCGCAGCAGGTACCGCGCCTTGGTGGAGCATGATTTCGTGTTCCACCGCACGCTGAGGAGGAAGTCTGTCCGGGAGCTCATCAGGCAGAACGTCTGCGAACTCATGCAGCAGCATTTTGATAGCTGCCGGAACCTGGCCAGACCCATGAGATGCAGACGCCTCAACCAAGTAAACCTCTGCATACTCGTCCGCTTCCAAGCGACGACGAAATTCCGCGAATGTGACTTCGTTAACGGTTGCATCGTTCTCGAGAAGAAACGGAGGCACAGGTGGCAGAGTAGGAGTCGGGAATGCTAGAGTCTGATTGGTCCAATCAATGACTGGGTTACACAATTCTAGCCAAGGACGTCCGAGGATTCCGTCGTAATCATACGTGATAGGCCAAAAAATGAAAGGCACTCGCGATATCACCGAATCACAGTCCACTGTCAAATCACAGGAGGGAACCAGACGTTGTTGCTCTCCTCCATCGAAACCACGTGCCGACACATGGATGACCGGCTTCTGGGAAGTGTCAAGTACATCATCCTTAAGAATACAGTGCGACGCTCCAGAGTCGATCAACATCCGGCACTGCTTGTCGGCGATGTAGACAGTCTTAATAAAGGGCGTACTGGCCCCTGCCGAAACTGTAGAGAGCTCCATCAATTCAATTGACGAAGTCTCAGTAGTTGTAGGAGATTCGTTTTGGGAAGACTCGACAGACACTCCATTTACGTCTGCCGAGCCAACCCATTTCCCTGCTTGTGACCGGCAGACTGCCCATTTCTACTCGGACAGTTGGCGATGCGATGGTCGCCCTTCTTGCAGTAAAAACACAAGTTTCGTTCACGGCACGTACGCTTATCAATTTGGCGGCTGTCCATCACAGAGATATCCATAGGAGTAGGTCCTTCTGGCACAGACGTGGCAGCGCCACGGCTCTGTTGCAAGCTGACCGAGCTACGACCGCGTTCCCCAAAGTGCGTGCGCTCGTAGGCTTGAGCACCCGCGATGGCATCTGCCAATATGGCACAGCGTAGGTACATGACCTCCTTTTTAGTATCGGACTTTAAACCCTCACAAAAATGATCCACCTGATCAATTGCGTGCATGCCGTGGATCTGCGCCATCAAGCGGCGGAAGTCCTTGACGTAGTCATCTACCGTGCCTTGTTGCTTACACTTGCGTAGCTCTGCCCGGAGCCGGAACTGCTGGTCCGGTGGCACAAACTCAGTGGTTAGTGCTACATGCAGCTCTTCGATGCTGTGGTAAGCCACATGAGCGACCATCACCTTGGCGTGGTACCAGGATGCAGCGCCGTCACGGAAATTCGCAGCGAGCATAGCCACGACGCGCGGTCCGTTGTGTGGATTGGCGAAGTCGATGCACTTGCCTTGCATGAATAGTTTAGCTCGGAAGATGAACTCGTCCACAGACTCGTGGGGACGACCGTGATACGTTGGCATGCTCACACCTTCGATCTTGTGCTCACGCTAAGCGTGTTGAGCCTGGAGCTGCTGCTGTAGCTGCTGCTGGTACCCTTGAAGGTACGACTGAAAATCTTGATAGATCTGGGCGTTTTGCTGGCTTAGGCCGGCAGCAATGCGTTCAAAGGCAGCCATGAAGTGTTCTGGCTGTACACCAGCAGCCTGGTGCTCCATTTTAGGGTCAGCCATTGACGTTGAAGTTAAACATCAGCAAGACCGCTCACGA